CCAAGGCGGCTCCCCTTCCCCCACTGCCGTAAAACATTAAGAAAATAATATTGCTTCTTCTCCTATGTGTAAGGCGAACCATGTCAGCAAAAAGCAAAATCATTTTATATATCAAAGTGGGGGAGTATGCAAAAGTTCTGACTTGACTTAGTCTGCAAAATGAGGAATGTATATGTTTTGTGGGAACAGATGTTTCTTTTGTATGTAAATGTGCTTTCTTTTAAAAGAAGAGACTTCGGTATGTTATCAAAGAGAGGGCTTTAATTTTTTTAACCAAAGGTGAAGGAATATATGGCAGAGTTGTAAATATATAAATATATATATATATATAAAATAAATATATATAAACCTAAAAAAGATATATTAAAAATATAAAATTGCGTTAAAGGCTCGATTTTGTATCTGCAGGCAGACACGGATCTGAGAATCTTTATTGAGAAAGAGCACTTAAGAGAATATTTTAAGTATTGCATCTGTATAAGTAAGAAAATATTTTGTCTAAAATGCCTCAGTGTATTTGTATTTTTTTGCAAGTGAAGGTTTACAATTTACAAAGTGTGTATTAAAAAAAAAAAAAGAACAAAAAAAGCTGCGGAAGGAAAAATGGGTAGTTTTGTTCTAGTTTCCGGTTTGTATATACCTATACAATGTGTCCTACGGTGCCTTTTTCATGGAAGTTTTCAACGATGGACGAGCGTGCCATCCCTTTCTGAAGTGTAGGCAGACACAGGGACTTGAAGTTGTCACTAACTAAGCTCTCTTTGGGAATGTTTGTCTCATCCATCACATTCTGCGTCATGCTTGTGTTATAACTACTCCGGAGACAGGGTTTGGCTGTGTCTAAACTGCATTACCGCGTTGTAAAATATAGCTGTACAAATACAAAAATAAAATGTCGAAAAGTCAAGTCAGTTTGTTCTGGGGGTCTTTCCTTGTTTTGGAATTGAGACTTAGGTGGGTCTGGTTTCCTTTGCTCTTAACCTAGAAGGAAGTTCTCACTGAGGGTGGCGGCTGCTGGGTGGGGGGGTCTTAGAAAGAGGGGGCTGGGGCTTGCTCCTGGTGGCTGGGCAGGGACCCATCTTCGGTTCCCAGGCCGGGAATGGACTGTAGACTCCACCCCTGGTGTGAGGACCTCCAGTGGAGGACTTTGGATGGACCTCTCACCTCTATTTCTGGTTGGTTCCCTTCTCTTTCTGTTTTTTCACTCGGCTCTAGGCTGAGCTTTTAACAACTTCAGTTCTAGTCTTTCTGACACGAATGTCTGTGAGTCTTTTCCTCTTGGAGAATTTGCCCATTCTGTGATAAGGTTCATCTTGCCTCCTGGCTTCATAAACAATTTCTGCTGGGGTTCAGGGGTCAGTATGAAGGCTTCTGACCCCAGTCATACATTTCTCAGCCTTGGTGCCTTGGGTGTCTTTTTGATATCTGCTGGGAGGTTGACAGGCATCTATAGACTTGGAAGCTTTATGAATGGCTACTAGCCAAGCAAACCTCCATCCCTATGGAAGTGTTCTTTGTCCAAAGGACCCTATAGTGGAGGTCAGCCACCTCCTGTGTGACTGAAGACAGTCATTTACCCTCTGGGTCCCCTTCTCAACCTGCCCAAGAGGGGACTGGATTAACTAGATTGCTTATGATTCCATGATTCAGACATAAATTCAATCTAGCTTACCTTGGCACCCCATTTTACCTCAAAAAACCCCAAGGATTACATTTAATTGATGAGACCTAAGAACAGTAGGGACAAGTGTGGTCGTGGCCCCTGGCCCAGAGGAAAAGGTCCATACTCCCCACTTTTAGTTCCTGGGTGGCTGTGGGGCAGGGACATGAAGCAGAGCCTTTCCTGGGTCCTTGAGCCACTGGTAGGATGGTGGTGTCCCTTGGTAGTGCCTTTGCAGCAGGCTCTGAGCACGTGCTGGGAAGTTTACGGGAGCCGACCAGCCAAAGCCCCAGAGAGAGCCTCAGAAAGTCACACCAGCCTCTGCCAGCCACATGGCCTTCCAGCTCAGGTTTCCTTTGAAAATGACTTTAAAGGACTTGCCAGCTCAAGGCCTCAGCTCACCCTGCTCTTTGAAAAGGGAGAAAATGATCCCTCTGCTCCCATAGGAACTTGGCAGAAGAACTTAAAAAACAGACAACTTCAGGAATGACAATTCACAGGCCTGAGGGAGGCTGGCCTCAGGGCCCCTTTGCTCCCTGAGGGACTCTGAGTTTGTTTACGTGTCATTACTATTTAATAAAGAGACTAGGGGACCCAGGCAGACAGTGTGGGTGGCATTCAAGTTCAAACAAAAGGGAAGATCAAAGAGTAACTGTAGCCAATTGATCAATAACAAGTAAAAAGCAAACATCTCTAAAACAGATAAGCTAGGGCAAAAGGAATATAGAGTTTTTATTACAAAAGCATGACGTGAATGCAACTTTTCACAAATACATAACTTACAAAACATGGGACACCTGAGGTTCTTCTCTATTTGGTGGGGTTTTTAGAGGAAAGGTTTTCCAGGACCCGGGTGGTGGTTGGAGGGTGGACTCAGAGGAGGGGGTTGGTCAGAATCAAGAGAAGCTGCTTAGAAGCTGGGAGGAATGGGAGATGATAAGGATCACCTAGTTTAAATCTATCATCTACCCATGAAATGACTGAGGCAGGAGACATGAAGAAACTTGCCTACTGTCACCCAGTGCACTGGGGGAGAGAGTGGAGGGCAAGCTCCTGCTCCTCACCCCAACTCAGCGGGAGGAAAAACGGATAAAAATGTTCCCATTTTAGAAATAAGGAAACTGAGGCAGGGACTTCTCCAAGATCACACGGCTAAGAGTGGCCAACTAGTCTGAATTCACACAACTAGTCATCGATAGAACTTTACTTACTTTCTTTTCTTGGGAAAAATGCTATTCCCTTGAAAATTTGGGTTCCTATTCCTCTTTCTGTGTCACTCGGTCATAATTTTATTAAACAGGGCTAATAATATCTTACATTTGTTAGGTGCCTATGATTTTTAAAGTACTTTTGTATCAATGATCATATTCAATTCTCACAGCCACCCCTCGGAGCAGAGGTCACAGGGGATGGAAACCACATGCCCACCTCAGAAACTCCAGGATGGGGGCAGTGCCCCAGGAGTTACAATTGAACCAGGGGTCTATAAAAAACACATCAAACTGCACTTGCTCACAGAAACTGTTCCAAAAGAAACTGCATTATACTCAGCCCTGCTGGAGTCAGAATGTGAGCGGCCATATTCCACATCATGTGACCTACTTCCCTGACCATTGATTTGTCTAAGGATGGACACTGGATCCAAGGGCAACCAACCACAGGCAGGCCTGTAACCTATTAAGTATGACATGTAAAGTACTGCCTAAAAAGAGGGTATTAATGAGTTGGGCCACTAAGATTATAGGTCTTGGAAAGTTATAGTGAAATATGAAGACAACCAGCCAGTCCAGTGTTTCTCAAATTTCAGTCATTTGTGATACACCTTCATGATTTTGCTTCATGAAGCATCATGCCTTGACTATTTATATATTTTTTCTTTAAACCAACTCATTTTTAGATATATTTTCCCCAAATATAAAACAAAAATTTCACTCACGTGCTTTCTAGAAATCGTTTTGTGCCCCACCAGAGGCATCTTTGGAAAACACTAAGAGAATTAGAATAGAGAAGAGAACGGTGAAGAGCTGACCTCTGGGGAGTAGCTAGGTCACATTAATGGCAGGGCACTGGAGCGAGAGCCCCAGAGTAGGGGGCTCAGAACTAAAAAGACCTTCCAGGAAGCTTGTCATTGTTTGGGGATCCTGGTCTTAGATTTCTAGAAGATTTCATCTATCTCATAACCACTTCGTAATAAAGTCTCTGCCTCTACTCCTACGCCGCCCAGCATACTTGGTCTAGTCTCTGTGAAGCCCTGTCTCCTGGAACCAAAGAGCATAGTTTATAACAGGTGCCCAGGTCTCTGGGGTGTCTGCCAGTGGGAAGACCCTAAATACTCAATATGGGTTCAGGCTTCTCAATAGAGGAGGTTGTGGCATGCTGTGATCCTTCTGAGGTAAGACACAAAAAGTGGTCTACCCAAAATATTGTAACCATTTGGAAAGAGAATGATCCTCCAAGCCCCGGAGCAATAAGAGAAGGCTTCTAACAGGCATACAGGAGCCCAGCCCTGTAGGGGCACAAGGGATATAGCATCCGAGGCCATAAATCTTCAATGAAGGAAGAGGAAGCCTGAGTGATTACTAAGGAAGTGGCCTTTTAGGAAGACAGCTGCCAAGGCAGGAAGGCAGTGGAGTCTATGAAGAGGACTCAGGGGGCTTGGAGCCCCCTATGTTACCCTTAAGCTCTGGGGTCTAGCCTCTTATTAAATGAGTCTGACTCATTCAGCCCCAATGATTGGCTTCTCAGCACATCTAAGAGATGAGTTCCCTGGGTCTCTCCTTGCCTTTTGCACATCATGCAGGAAGGTTGTTTAAATAACAAGCATGTTTAGAGTCAGAATTACAGAATATCATGACTGGAGGGGCCTTAGTAATTATAATCATATTTTACAGGTGAAGAAACCAGGCTAGAGGGGAAAAGGGGACATGCTTAAAAGGTCACACCAAGAATTTTTATCACAGAGGTTTCCTGACTCCCAGTTTGGCTTCTAACATTGTTCGAGCCTTCAAGGAGTGTGCGGTCAAGCTGGGGGCGGGGGGAGGGGAGTGGGGGAGAGGGATAGGAGGTGGAGGGGACATGAACAAATATGGAAGTAAAAATGAAAAGAAACATGAAGAGTTATAACATATCATGAATAAATGACATTCTTGAGGATCCAGGGGCTTTGAGAGGCATATGCAGAAGCATCCTCTGGACTCCCAAGCATCTCCCTCCTTTCTGTGGGACTGCAGTGCCTCCTTCTGCCAGGACAGAGCTGTTCTCCTTGATGT